TCTCTATCTGTATGTCTTTCTGTATTTGTTTTTCTGTGTTACTCTTCAACTCTCTATTTGAGGAAGATATCATAATGATATACAAATTCGCCAAACTCTTGTTCAGTCGTTCCCAAGGCTCCTAGACCTGAACAAAGACAAGTATTCTGGCATCGGGCAACTAAAATATTCTGATTCTATTAACCTATCCAATCGTTCTATAACGATATGTATGAATATAAGCCCAATGAGACAGCTGGATTATAATTTGATTTAGTATAGTTCTTCTTATTTGCTTTTCTGTTTTTGTTATTCAGTTGAAGACTTCTTATTTCTCTCAGCAGTATGTTTGGCCTGTTTAGCATTTTCTTTCATCTACGACGACATCATTTTTCGAGTTTTACTTGATATGCTGAACACGCGCCTGAATAATTTCGACGGCTTTAAAGACGCTGACAGCATTATATTATTGGTGGCTGTCCCGCCCGAAATTAGAATTTATTGTTCTTTCTATATAGCGGGTTAAACCTGTCCGTTATTGAAATAGATTCTTTGTGTACTGCTTAGGCATGGCGGCTTCCTCAAAATAATTTTAAAGACTAACACTAAATATGTGTTTGACTAAGCGCAAGTGTGTTTGCCCTGACTGAACATAGTCTGAGGTGCGAAAGTACAGTCCCACATTAGCAAAAACATAAAGCCTGATGCTGCCTCAGTGGCTCAATGGCTGAATGGCTTTACTTAACATATACATACACATGTATGTTATTTCAATTCCTGCCTTGAAATATATAGCAACCTTTTGTACTAGTCTCTAATATACATAGTCTTCGAATTGCATTTTTGCCGCTCTTTCAATAACATTCAAACAACAAAGGCCTGCTCACAATGGCATTTGTGGAAATATGTTTTATTGAAACTGATTTCGAATCAAATCAAATCAAAGTTTTGCACTCATTTTGTGGTTAAATGAAAAATGTTGTCAGCAAATGCTTAAAAGGCTTCGCCTGCAATTTGTTGGTCATTTATTGTTGTTGTTGCTGCTGTTATTGTTGTCGATGGCAATGTTGTTTTTATTAGTTTTTTTTTTTAGCTTTTTTTTAATTTTGTACACACCAGTCGCACTTATTTCGGCCGCATGTGTTAATTAGTTAACATTGAAAGCCAACATGTTGTTTTACTTCTAAGGCAAACTCTAAAGTGAAAAAATCGAACAAAAACGAACGAAAAGTGCGCATAAACCGAAGTCAATTGGCTGGGACTTGGCCAAGCTACAGTGGCCGTATCAGACAGAGCCCGAGCTATGTCTCCGGCTCTCACCTTGGTCTCCTTAACGCACAACAACAACAACAGCAGCAACTACAGCTACAACTACAACTGGCGAATCAGCGCCCACATCGCTATGCAGCTACATACATCTGTCAATGCTATAGATCTGTGTGAAATATGGAATCAGATACAGATACAGATACAGATGCTGATAGAGATAGACGACATTATACTACCGCCCTGGCGCGTGTTTGCCCAATATTTTGACAACTGACTGCGAAATGGCCAAAAGTGAATGAATGAATGAAAATACTTATGTGCGTATCGCAGATGGCAAACAAAATCTCAAAATTAAGCGAAGGGCGCGCCAACATTTCTTGTGCAAATAAAAATGGCAGCTATGCTGCGAGGGTTACCTAATACGAA